ATATAGTATAAGTACGTCATTGATAAATTATATAATGTACAATAAAGAAATAATGAACAAACAATTTTTACCTTGACCTAGAAATTTCTTCTTCACTGTAATCAGAATCACTGTATCTACTACTACTAAAATGGTCGGCATACCTTGATTTATCCCTTCGCGATCTCCTCCGGCTACTTCTATCACTATCCCTATGTCTCCTTTTGCTTGAACGGCGCCGGTGTAATCGTTCTAAGCGTCTAAAATTACGCATACGAGCAGCAGCAGCATCTTCTTCAGACTTTTTGATCAAGGCCTGATTATGACCATCTACACTTTTTATTACGTTAAGCAAGAACCGTTTATTTGTTTTTGGAAGATTACATTGAGGCCTACAAAAATTAATAGGTAAAACTAATCAGAATTGTTCTTTAACAGTAAAGACCTTGGGCATAGTTTTACTTACGTTTCAGTATGCGGTAAATAAGCTCTAATCCCTTCCTTGTTGTATAATTTATTTTTGGCAGAAGCTTCTTTCATTATTAAGTCGGCCACATATTTGTCCAAATCCTCATCACTAAGAGATGACGGAATATTACCTCCCACAGATGCTCTAACTAATTGATTAACCACAATGTCCAATGCGGACTTTGGTTTAGTTGGCTGATCATCGGGAGGCTGTACTGGAGGCATTATTATTATTAAGTGTGTATATACCTATATATATTTTGAAGCTCACGAAACCATTTGCGGATTAATTTTTAAAATTGGCGAGATTTTGGCTTAAATTCTTCAGGGCACGGGAAAAAAATTTGGGCATTCTTATAAGAAGACTTCATCTGATTGGCCAAGGAAATCAAACGTATAGACAGGGTGAAGCCTGATTGCGAATGCGAAAAGAGTAAAACTCGGTTACCTTTTTACTATTGAAGTAGCGATGTGTATCAATGATGTAACCTGTCGTGTTAACATTACTAGAATCCGTTGAATAATTAGAATGTTCGAATGAATATTCGAATATATATTTGGTAATATATACATGTAAATATATAATATATACTGTATATACTGTATATATGATAAAATAACTATATAAAATAACTAATTTTAATATTTTTTTTTAAAAAGTGTAAGCTATACTATATTTAATCTCTAATGAAATTTTACTATATATATTACAATGTATTTGTTGTTGTTTATTTGATTTAGAAATAAACAATACCAATTATTTTGGTTTATATGATATCGATCTTTTGGAAGAGATAAGCTAAGATGCTTAGGGGCGTGCCATTTATCACGTAATATTTTTTACTTAGTAGCCACCCCATTTATGTATGGTGTGATTACCCTAGCTTGATTCTGATTAGCTGATTTAAATATTTTTAAAATTGAATAACTTTTGACCTACTGGTCTGATTTGGATAATTTTACTACCAAAATGTTCATCTTGATGAGACGATTCTAATAAGTCTAAAATCACTAAAATTTAATCACAGGATCTTGAGATCATTAAGATTTTTTGTACTATTTCATATATAATAAAATTAATTTTATTATATATAAAATAGTACAAAAAACCTTGACGATCTCAAGATCCTGTGATTGGATTTTAGCGATTTTGGGCTCATTAGGATCGTCTCATAAAGATAAACATTTTGACAGTTAAATAATCCAAAACAGACCAGTAGATCAAAAGTTATTTAATATTAAAGATTTATAAAATATATATATAATTTATATATTATATTTTTTATTATATTTAATTATATACTATATTATATATATATATATATATGTGATCACCTTCTAATCCATGTATCCATGGTAAAAATCATATGATAAATGGCACGTTTCTTAGGGCAGTATCATTTATCACCTGATTATTTTTTATCAGAAGCTTACCCCCCTTCCCCCTTCTTAATATAAAAAAAATCAGATTCTTATATATAATTTTAACTTTTTTTACCCCCTTCTCCTAAAAAATCACCTGATTTTTGTCACATCCTTTACTTTTTACAAAAATTTCTCAAAAAAAAGTGGTGGGCCAATATGGTAAAATAAGAGTTTTTTCTATAAGTTTTATAGTTGTATATATATTTTTACCAACTTTTACTATTTTAAAAAACTTGTTTTTAGAATAAACCTTCTGGTTAAATGCCAAATATTTTGAAAAGTTTACCAAAGCCAAAAGGTTTGACTCTAAGAAGAACTATTTTAGTTATATCGGCTTTTCGGTATTTCATATTTTTAGGTTTTGTTGACAATAACTTACTCTAAATAAACTTGTTCTCAGAATAGCCCTTCTGGTTTGGATACCAAATATCTTAGTGAGTCTACTGAAAAAAAACAATAAAAGCTTGACTTCAAGAAAAACTACCAATTTAACACCTACTTCTTGGTGGTTTATATCTTCTAGGCTTTGTTGACAACAGTTTACTTAAGTTAGAACTAAGAATAATATTTATCTTGAAAGTTTCTATATTGTTTTTCTGTAGTTTGGTTTTAATTATTATTGACCAAAAAATCATTAGAAAGTGTTGCTTAAATAAATTTTTTTAATTCTAGCTAAATTTATATTGCTTATTAGTAACTTATTATAAATAGTAATATTTACAATAATTGAAAAAAGATTTATAATATAAATAATAAATATTATAATATAATTAATTAGTAATTCATCAGTCAACTAGTAAGAAGTCATAGTATAACGTGATATAGTTTATAGGATAAATATATGCATCGTCTACTGCGATGTGTTTATATATCACATCTATATATATAAATTATAATTTGTCTTATAACAACTAAAGTAACCAGGATTTTTTTTGTTTGGTTAGAGT